TCATCACTCCTTCATTTGACAGTTCAGCACTAGCCTCAGCATTATTCTCATCATGTTCATCATGCTCATTTTCTGTTGGAGGAATGACTGGTGGTGGTGGAGGTGGAGGGGGAGCAGACATCACAGTTTTTAACTCCTCTTTGGTCTTTTCCAAGTCTTCCTGGGCTGCAAAAGCCTGAACATCAAAAATAAGTTTATGAACAACTTCCTCCAAAGACTGGAAATTAAAAAGAATGAATCAAGACTTTACCTTGCTTTTTAACAGAAACCGTATTTCAGGGTAATGAAAAGCCACCCTATTCTAGAATAATGCCAACAAGAAAAAGAACTCATTTTTCAAATCCTAGTAACTCCACCACTGTCAGTCACTGTACAGTATTGTGGTGGCTTGTGATGTCGCAAGCTCTACCACTGGCATTTCAAGTATCAGCAGTTACCCCTGGTGGACAGATCTGAGCACAGCTTCCAGACTAAGACAGCCTAGGAAGGCAGACCTATGGACATAGTCTCAAAAATTAGCCAATGGATCACTACAGAGGATTGTCCAGCTTGTTTATTTTGGACATACTCTTGGAAAAGAATAACTATTGGAAAAGGATATCATGTTTGGTGAAGGAGACTTAGTGAGACGGGCTGGGAAAAGAGCCCCAAAGATGGACTCAAACATGTTGATGAAGATGATGCACAACCAGGCAGCATTTCCTTCCACGGCACATGAGTTAGAGTCAACTTGACTATTATCCACTAAATTAATTAGTTCTCAGAAGGGTCATCAACAATTGCCAAAACCGTTATTTTGGTGGAAAACAGATATTTATATAATACCAAAGAATCCCATAGCTAATTAATGACATTTTAGCCACAAGGGGGAAAAATGTAATCAAACAATAGAGATAATCAGTTATTTAAATCCAATGATCAATTAATTCATCAATGAATGGTGGGTTAGCTAGATAATAAATGTCTTCTGATTGGATACAACATGAAGTACTCACCATCATCAATGACTTGCATGATTAATTACAGTGTTTGCAGAAAATGTCTTAATTTACCCAATGTTCTAGCGTAATTCTTAGCACCTTTTTCATCTGAAAATGTGGTTTGACTGACCAAGTACATGGATATCCTACCTATGATGCATCTTAGCAAAAAAAGAAGTTTGAATTAAATTCTCATTATCTTATATTGCCCACTCCTCCAACAAAAGCCTAGATTTTCATTTCTGTCCTTCAGACAACAGATTCATTATGAACTAGATTATTCTTCAGTTTCTAAAAACTTATAACTTAGTCACAATAGGCAAATTGTTTATCAAAGCCTTTATAACAATTCATGTACCAAGTGAATCAAATGAGGTGACTGTGATAAAAAATTTGGAGTTGGGGCTGGTTCTCTCATTTCAAAGAGAGAAGTTAAAATAACATAAAAGAAGGTGATGTTTCAAGATGATGACACCCTATTCAACAATGGAGGTTGATTGAATCTCTCTACAGCCCTTCAAATAATCCAAATCTCATGCACTAGTATCCTGAAAGTGTTTACGAAGCTTCCTATTCTTGGGCTTTGATTAGTCATTTTTTTTATTTTTTTGTTTCAGTTACCATGATGAATTATTCAAACTGTGAAAGCCCTACTCTGTGTTTTGCTTCACAGGCCATAACAGGTCAATTTTAAGTACTGTACTAAGGAGGACTGGAGGGATCATTTGTAAGCCAGATAATCTAACCCAAGGACTGTCTGTATTCAGAAACTTCGATTAAAATCTAAGTATCATCTATATCCCTCTAATTCAACTACATTTCTAATTATTTAGCTGTCATGTTCTTTTGAGTCTACTATAAACTATCTCTCAACACTTTCTGTCCCATCTATTTTCATTGCCATGTAATTTACCCAGTTGCCATGAAGTCGACTCTGACTCCTGCAGACCCTATGTGTGTCAGAATAGAACTGTCCTCCACAGGGTTTTGAACGGCTGTAATCTTTTGAAAGTAGATTGCTAGGCTTTCTTCCGAGGGCCTTCTCAGTGGACTTGAACTTCCAACCTTTAGGTTAGCAGTCAAGTATATTAAGCATGCGCACTACCCAGGGACTCCTAGTGTATTCTTAGTTTGACATTCACCTCTCAAGTAATCCTAATGTCTGTCTTAATCCATCCTTGATATTGCTTTCTAAGTTAGTTTTATAAAACCCTACTTAATTATGTTACAATCCTATTTACTATCTAACTTTCCAGCCACGTATCTGAGCATATATAATAAGCTTTCGGGGCTTTCTGGTTGTCCTAAATAGTTAATGAATGTACTTCCTATCCTCATTCCACTTCCTTTGTCTGGAATGACTACCTTTTTAGTTGATACACAGGTGTAATTGTTCCTACACCACCCCTAGACAGATTTTAATATATACATACATACACAGTGTTAAACTTTTAAAGATTTATGCAACTCTTCTTACCCTACAGAAATGAGTCATATCTCCTATGTTATCTAAATAGTTAATGTCACCAGATTTACTTCCGTTTACTCACAGACACACTTTCCTATTTATATTGTGATTGTATCTTAGAATTATCTCTGTATACATAAGCAGCACATCGCTGTGTACAAAACAGGTCTTTCGTAACACCAGTGGATGAACATATAAATGATTACTTTGTGCTGCCACTCAGTAGCTTCTTCTTCCTTCTTCTTCTTGGCTTCTTCCAGAAGTGCAATCTTGGCAGTGAATTCGGCAAGTTCTGCTGCCTAAAATAAACAATGTAATTACCAAGACTGAAAAACAAGGGGAGCTCTGGTGGCCTAGTGGCAAGGACCTGCAACTACAATCCCAGAGGTGCACGGTTCGAATCCACCAGATGCTCTGCCAGGTAAGGAGGGACAATTTCCCCCTGTACCAGTCAGATCTGATTTGACGGTACACGCACACAAATTAAAAAAAAAAAAAAAAAAGACTGAAAAACAATGTATTTTCAGTAACCCTTTGACAATCTAAGAAAGCTTTCGTGTACATGCTATGGAAATTTTACATATTTTTTCCTAATAGTTTTACTTTCTTTTTAAAATAAAACGAGGGGGAGGCAAATTTTCTTCCAATCTCTTGACTTGCTGCGTCAAAAACAACTGTGCCCAGCTCAAAAGTGGCCGCTGACTGTGACACTCTGCATGTGTGTTGCTCTCCACAGGCCTGGCAATTACCCAAATGGCAGCACCACGTTCCTCAAAGGGCTCACTACACCTCTCTAGACTAGAATTCCAGATAACACAAATTTAAAAATCAAGTCTGTTCTCCAGTTTACATCATTGGCCAGGTCTAGTTCACAATGCTACTTCAAAGGAAGAGAACAGAGATTCACAAATACCCAAAAGAACAGTAAAATACCTATCCTGACATTTAAATCCAGGACCAATTAAGCATCATGCTTACTTCTTAAAAGAAATCCCACTATATTAAAAAGAAACCACTGTACAGTTAACTCATAAGAGCTATGATCACAGTCAACTATATGCTCATTAGCTTACTAAAAAAACCTATCCGAAAGCTTACAGAATCAGAATCCTTGGCTGACAATAGCCATCATGTATAAGTAAGACAAAAGAAAATCTTTTATTCTAGTTTATGTATAGGCAAGTGATAAAAGTTTTTTATGTGAACTCCCAACACTTCACTACTAAGTTACTTGAATCACTTCCCAGAGGTCTAACATACAGTTGTCTAAGCTTTTCTTTCATTTTCCCGCTTTGTCCACAGCCTATTTCTTACTAGCTGTTCCTGAGTCTTCATCTGGTCGGCAGCCTGCTTCTCTATGGCCGCCTTGGCCTCCTCTGCAGCTCGACGCTCCTTTTCCAGTCGTTCTGCTTCTTCTTTTGCTCGTTTTCGTTCCTGGTCCAGCTCTAGCGCTCTTCTGGTCTGTTCTTCTAGTTCTGTCAAATAGATGTTTAGAGTCCCCCAAAAAAGGATTAAATCCAATAATTCTAATTAATAGATATCAGCATAGTAGCAAGGAATTGAATCTGAACAGATACTAAATATTAGTACATATGTAAAATACACATAACTCGGTATCCAATGCCATGTGTTTCAGAAATCTGTATCTTAAAATGTATACAGCTTTTTACTTCTCTAAAGTACTAAATAAGTAAATTAAATAAATTAATGTTAAACACAGGACCTACTAATCCAGACAGTATTTTTTAGGCAAATTACCAGAATTTTTAATGACCCTGGAGGGCATTATGCTGGGTGAAATATCTCAGTCACAAAAGGACAAACACTGCATAACATCACTGTTATAAAACAGGACTGATATGAGAGGGATTGGGGAGAAACTAGGAAAATAAGGGATAAATATTGAACACTCCACTGAAAAAGATGAGGGAAAGAACAGTCTAAAAGAAATGTAGGATTTAGGTATTATTTGCATGACAACAGTCTAGAATAAGAAGTGTATATAGCAAAGCAGACTGGGAGGTAGTAGGAAATCGTGCAACAATGAAAGAATCTTTTTAAAAAGAAAAGCAAACTGGGGGTGGGTGGGTTTAAGGAGGGAAATGTGCAACAATGAAATGAATAGAAATACAAGTTTTCTGTAAACTGTTAAAATATCAATTAAAGGGAAAAAAAGAAAATCTAATCTAAAGGACAGAGTCTCCCTCTACTCGGGGCCTATCTTTGATAGTTTTTGGTGAAATATTCTTCCAGGTCGTATAGCCCTAGTTTATCCACTTGCCATACAGAGCTAACTTGTGGTCACTGTGAAGCTGAACACTGTGACACTGATGTGTCAAACACGTTAATGGTTACCCATGGTGGACAGTGTTTGGTGGAGCTCCCCAGTTAAAACAAGCCTGAAAGCAGGAGTGGTATCCATTTCCGTAATAGCTTGCCTCCAAAGACCCTATGAACCTGGAGAAAGGATGAAAGCTGTACAAGTGTCGAACACTTTCGTTCATAGGGTCACCATGAGTCGCCAAGGACTCGACGGCACTTAACAACAACAACCAGAAGCACATCATGACATTTAATAATACATTTCTAGGCTTGGGACTTCAGTATGGCTGTGCAAACAATTCCTAAGAAAGAGCCAAAGTGCAAGCTTGAATCAAGTCCCTAATGTCAAGTTCTAATTCTGAGTAAAGTAGGTAGATAAAATGGGACGTTTTATAACTACTGACTAAACTAGAGTAAATTCTGTGAGGCTGACTCTTTTACTAATGTCTACATTAATCTAGTAACTAGCTAAAGAAAAATAGTAACCATTTAATATATTTGGCCATTAAAATAAATCAGGCACTGAATATACATTACAACATGTTTAAACCTGAGTGCAAACTTTCGTTACAAAGACTGAGAAGGAAGAAAAGACCAAAATGGCTGTCAGAAGAAATTCTGAATATAGCACTGGAGCACAGAGAGCAGGGGGAAGAATTAAAGATACTAAAGAGCTGAACATAAGATTTCAAAAGACAGTGCGAGATGACAAAGTAAAATATTATGATGAAATGTGCAAGGAGCTGGAGAGTCAGAAAAGCAAACTTTCATTACAAAGACTGAGAAGGAAGAAAAGACCAAAATGGCTGTCAGAAGAAATTCTGAATATAGCACTGGAGCACAGAGAGCAGGGGGAAGAATTAAAGATACTAAAGAGCTGAACATAAGATTTCAAAAGACAGTGCGAGATGACAAAGTAAAATATTATGATGAAATGTGCAAGGAGCTGGAGAGTCAGAAAATCAAAAGGGCCAAACTCGCTCAGCATTTCTTAAGCTCAAGGAACTGAAGAACAAATCAAACCTTGAGTTCCTATAATCAAATATGCTTTAGGCAGAATAGGAAATAATCCAGGAAGTATTAAAAGAAGATAAAAAGAAGATACTGAGTCACTGTATCGAAAGAAATTGGCAGACACACAAGAATTTCATGAAACAACATATGAGCAAGAGCCTATAGTGATGAAGGAAGACATTCTGGCTACTTTGAAGGAAAAAGCAAAAAAATAAGGCCCCAGGAATAGATGGTATACCAATTCACGTATTTCAGCTAACAGATAATGCCCTGGATGTGGTCACCAAGTTGTGCTAAGAAATCTGGAGAAGAACCATTGACCAACTGACTGGAAGAAATCTGTATTTGTTCCCATTCCAAAGAGAGGTGACCCAGCAGAGTGTGGAAACTACAGAACAATATCATTGATTTCACATGCAAGCAAGATTTTACTGAAGATTATCCAAAAATGACTGGAACAGCACATCAGCA